CAACGAGCCTAGGACCTGGTACCACTGCCTAGATGCCTCCCAAACAGATCAAGCTAATCGACTGTCTCACCTATTCAGAGGGCCTGATCCAGTTGGGGGCCCCTCAGCCTTTGGTTCATAGTTCATGTGTTTCCATTTGCTCAACGGTCTTATTAAATAAGAAACACAAAGCCAAATAAAGACTTAAAAGCCCAAGAGATTCGAGCACTAGTGAAGAGCCAAGACCACCTTATCTTACCACTCGCTGCTGTCCTTCTTCCTCTGAGAGAGAGAGAGAGACCTTCTTCCTGTGTATCTTGAGTTTTATTGCTTTCCTGTTCTGCCTCCTCATTGGCTCTAAGCCCAGCCACATGACTTCCTCGTCACTGCCTGTCTATACATGCTTCCTGGTCTCTATGGTTGGTACTGGGATTAAAGACTCAAGGGTCACCATGCTTGGCTGTGTCCTTGACCACACAGAGACTCTGCCTGCCATGTGATCAGATTAAAGGCGTGGGCTACCACCACCTGAATTCTGTTCCTGGCTTGCTAATAACCTCTGATCTCCAGGCAAACTTTATTAACATACAAATAAAATCACATTTAAGCACAATTAAAATATCACCAGAAATAATCCCTGAGGAAATAGAAACAGTCATTAAATGTCTCCTAACCAAAAAAAGCCAAGGACCAGATGGTTCTACCAGATCTTCAAAGAAAAGTTAATACTAATGCTCTTTAAATTGTTCCACACAATAGAAACAGAAGGAACATTACCAAACTGCTTTTATAAGGCCACAGTTACTCTGCTTCCCAAGCCAAACAAAGATGCAACAAAGAAAGAGAATTACAGACCAATCTCCCTCATGAACATTGATGCAAAAATACTCAATAAAATATTGGCAAACAGATTCCAAGAACACATCAAAAAATTATCCACCATGATCAAGTAGGCTTCACCTGAGACGCAAAAGTGGTTCAACATACAAAAATCTGTCAATGTAATCTACCATATAAACAAACTGAAAGAAAAAAAACACACGATCATTTCATTAGATGCTGAAAAGGCCTTTGACAAAATCTAACACCCTTTCATGATAAAGGTATTGGAGAGATCAGGAATACAGGGAACATACCTAAACACAATAAAGGCAATTTAGAGCAAGCCAACAGCCACAATCAAATTAAATGGAGAGAAACACAAAGCGATCCCACTTAAATCAGGAACAAGACAAGGCTGTCTACTCTCCCCATATTTATTCAATGTAGTACTCAAAGTTCTAGCTAGAGGAATAAGACAACAAAAGGAGATCAAGGGAATACAAATTGGAAAGGAAGAAGTCAAACTTTCACTATTTACTGATGGTATGATAGTATACATACGTGACCCCAAAAATTTGATCAAGGAACTCTTACAGCTGATAAACACCTTCAGTAATGTGGCAGAATACAAGATTAATTCAAAATACTCAGTAACCCTCCTATATACAAATGACAAATGGGCTGAGAAAGAAATCAGAGAAACATCACCCTTTACAATAGCCACAAATAATAGAAAATACCTTGGGGTAACTCTAACTAAGCAAGTGAAGGACCTGCATGACAAGAACTTTAAGTCTCTGAAGAAAGAAATTGAAGAAGATATCAGAAAATGGAAAGATTTCCCATGCGAATGGATAGGTAGGATTAACATAGTAAAAATGGCAATCTTACCAAAAGCAATCTACAGATTCAATGTAATCCCCATCAAAATACCAACACAATTCTTCACAGACCTAAAAAGAACAATACTCAATTTCATATGGAAAAAAAAAAAAAAAACCCAGGATAGCTAAAATAATTTTGTACAATAAAGCAACCTCTGGAGGCATCACGATCCCTGACTTCAAGCTCTACTATAGAGCTACAGTAGTAAAACCAGCTTGGTACTGGTGTAAAAACTGACATATAGACCAATGTAATCGAATTGAAGACCCTGACATTAATCTGCACATGTATGAATACCTAATTTTCGAAAAGAAGCCAAAAGTATACAATGGAAAAAAGAAAGCATCTTCAACAAATGGTGCTGGCATAACTGGATGTCAGCATGTAGAAGATTGCAAATAGATCCATATCTGTCACCATGTATAAAACTTAAGTCCAAGTGGCTCAAAGACCTCAACATAGATCCAGTTACCCTGAACCTGATAGAAGAGAAAGTAGGAAGTAGTCTTGAACACATTGGCACTGGAGATCACTTCCTAAATATAACACCAGCAGCACAGACACTGAGAGAAACAATTAATAAATGTAACCTCTTGAAACTGAGAAGCTTTTGTAGGGCAAAGGACATGGTCAATAAGTCAAAACAATAGCCTACAGAATGGGAAAAGATCTTCACTAACCCCACATCTGACAGAGGGCTGATATCCAGAATATATAAACGACATCAAAATACCTAACGGTCCAATTAAAAAATGGGCCATAGAGCTAAACAGAGAATTCTCAACAGAAGAATCTCAATTGCTGAAATACATTTAAGGAATTTCTCAATATCCTTAGTCATCAGGGAAATGCAAATCAAAAGGACTCTGAGATACCATCTTACACCTGTCAGAATGGCCAAGATCAAAAACACCAAAGACAGCTTATGTTGGAGAGGATGTGGAGCAAGGGGAACACTCCTCCACTGTTGGTGGGAATGCAATCTTGTATAGCCACTTTGGAAATCGGTGTGGCGGTTTCTCAGAAAATTAGGAATCGAACTACCTCAAGACCCAGCCATCCCACTCTTGGGCATATACCCAAGGAATGTTCAATCATACCACAAGGACAAATGCTCAACTATTGTCATAGCAGCACTATTTGTAATAGCCAGCACCTGGAAACAATCTAGATGCCCCTCAATTGAAGAATGGATAAAGAAAATGTGGTACATATACACAATGGAGTACTACTCAGCAGAGAAAAACAATGACATCATGAGGTTTGCAGGCAAATGATTGGAACTAGAAAATATCATCCTGAGTGAGGTAACCCAGACTCAGAAGTACAAAGATGGTATGTACTCACTTATAAGTGGATACTAGATGTAAAGCAAAGGATAACCAGACTGCAACCCACAGCTCCAGGGAGAGTAGCTTGTAAGTAAGACCCTAGGATAGATACAGGGATCGCCCAGCAATGGAGAAATGGATAAGATCTACATGAGCAAACTGGGGTAAGGGTGCGTAATGGAGGGCAAGTGTCAGGGGAAAGAGAGCTTAGGGGAGCGAGAGGTCCGAGCTGGGTCAGGAACAGAGTGGGAGAACAAGCAAAGAGATACCATGATAAATGAAGACACCATGGGACTAAGGAAAACCACAGTGCTATGGAGGTCCCCAGGAATCCACAAGGATGACTCCATAATAGACTACAGGCAATGGTCGAGAGGGTGCCTAAGCTGACCTACTCTGTTGATTGGATGGCTGAATACCCTAACTGACATCATAGAACCCTCATCCAGTGACTGATGGAACCAGATGCAGAGATCCATGGCTGGGTCCCAGGTGGAGCTCCAGGAGTCCAATCAACAAGAGAGAGGAGGGATGCTATGAGCAAGAGATATTGAGACCATGATTAGAAAAAGAACAGGCCGGGCGGTGGTGGCGCACGCCTTTAATCCCAGCACTCGGGAGGCAGAGCCAGGCGGATCTCTGTGAGTTCGAGGCCAGCCTGGGCTACCAAGTGAGTTCCAGGAAAAGGCGCAAAGCTACACAGAGAAACCCTGTCTCGAAAAAACCAAAAAAAAAAAAAAAAAAAGAAAAAGAACAGAGACAACTAGCCAAACTAGTGGAAACACATGAACTGTGAACCAATAGCTGAGGAGCCCCCATGGTATTGGACTAGGCCCTCTGGATAAGTGAGACAGTTGTTTAGCTTGAACTGTTTAGGGGGCCCCCAGGCAGTGGGACCGGAACCTGTCCCTAGTGCATGAGCTGGCTTTTTGGAACCTAGTGCCTATGGTGAGACACTGCACAGCCTTGGTGCAGGGAGGAGGAGCTTGACCTGCCTCAATTGAATGTACCAGGCTCTGCTGACTCCCCATGGGAGACCTTGCCTTGGAGGAGGTGGGAATGGGGGGGGGTTAGGGGAGAAGGCTGGAGGTGGGAGAAGGGGGGACAGGGGAATCCATAGTTGATATGTAAAATGAATAGAAAATCTCTTAATAAAAAAAAGAAAAAGAAATGAGTTATCTTGGTATGGAATAGTTGGTGAAAAGGAGTAATATAAGATAAAATACAAATTAAAAGGCCAGGGTAGCCAAATAAATATTGAAAGGAAAAGTGGTTAGTGGATTTTTAAAATATGCATTATATGGTCACAGTTATTTATTTACAGTCCATTCATAACAGATATTATTTAGACATCAGTTGGGGCTGTCAATTTCCCTTTACCAGATGTGCATTAAATGTAAATGATTCTTTTTTTTTGTTTTTGTTTTTGTTTTCCAAGACAGGGTTTCTCTGTGTATTCATGGCTGTCTTGGAACTCACTCAGTAGACCAGGCTGGCCTGGAACTCAGAGACCTGTTTGCCTCTGCCTCTCGAGTGCTGTGATCAAAGGTGTGTGCCACCACCACCCAGCTATAAGTGATTCTTTACTTACTGTGCATGATGTTGGAGGTCTGGAACTCAGGGTCCTGGGGCTGTGTATCAGCTGCATTGGGGAGGAAGCGTTGCATGTTCTCTGTGATATACCAGCTTTGGTTCTCATCAAACAGAGAAAACAGGATGACATTTCTCTTGTCTGACATCATCTGTTAATAACATATATGAAAAGGGAAAAGGAAATGCCACTCATATTGTAGGTAGGAGCTAGCTGTGCAGGATGGAGGGATGTCATATACTCATCCTTTGGCTCAATTCATTTCCTCTGAACAGTCACTATATGGCATGTCTTGGAAGAGAGATAGGCACTTTGAATGATGAATATATGTTTAGAACTAATGCAACCTCAAGGCAGGAAAGTAGCTGGATCTAGTAAATTTCATTCTTTCTGGACCCAAGATCATATACTGGTACAGTTTATAGCCTCATTTTCTCCATGTTTAATGTAGAGAAATATGGATCTTAAAGATAAGTCATCCAGGTTAAATAAAATCAAACCATTCCTAAGTTCCTATCTTGCAACTATCTTTCCATAAGCCTACCAGCTTATAGTAAACTAAAAATATAAAAAGGAATTCAGATATGACAGGATGAACAATGAATAATACTGATACCTTAAAGATTTTGTTCTAAAAAAAATCATTATCTTAGAATAGCACTTTGTATAGTGAGCCAAATTCATGAGTTTCACCTGCTAATTGAGTATAAGATTTAATGTCTAAATTTCATATGTGTAAATTTCATTTTGTATAACCCATAGTTGCAAAAGCTAAAACGCTGAAGAGAAAATTGGAGAATATCTATGTCAGTCATCTTCCAAAAGATGGTGGGAAAAGTACAATTATGAAACATTCTTTTTTTTTTTTTTTTTTTTTTTTGGTTTTTCGAGACAGGGTTTCTCTGTGTAGCTTTGCGCCTTTCCTGGAACTCACTTGGTAGCCCAGGCTGGCCTGGAACTCAGAGATCCACCTGCCTCTGCCTCCCGAGTGCTGGGATTAAAGGCGTGCGCCACCACCGCCCGGCCAATTATGAAACATTCTTAGGACAGATATTTAATCATATCCAAATATTAAGTTCAAAGTCCTACTACTCTGGATTTGTATACCATATGTTATACCTTCACTTAAGTACTTTGATCATTAAACCTATGAAATGCCTTCAACTAGTAAGAATTTATATTACAGCCCAAGGAGACCAGCTCCAAGGGCTGCAGAATAGGGCTCAAAGAAAAAGCTGCATCACAGTGAAACATAGCTTTTTTTTTTTATCTGAGGGGTATAGGAAGAAACATACATGCTCTGATGGTTGTAGCTGCAAGTTTCTGTCTCGCCCAGTCCCACAGCTGTTCAGTCTCAAGTAAACTGAGGCTTTATTAATTACAAACTGTTTGGTCTATGACTTAGGCTTATTGCTAGCTAGCTATTACATCTTAAGTTAACCCATTTCTATTAATCTATATTTTGCCCCATGGCCTTGGCATTACCGGTCTGCTGGCATCTTGTTGCTCCTTGGGCAGCTGGATCATGTCTGCCCCCACTCTGCCTTCCTCCTCCCTGTATCTTTCCTTGGATTTCCTGCCTGGCTATAACCTGTCTTGCCATAGGTCAGAGCAGCTTCTTCATTAACCAATGGTAGCAACACATATTCACAGCCTACAGAAAGACTATCCATGGTAGATGGTAACTTTATTTCTGTGTTTGTTCTCTTTTTTCATCTAGGCTTCTCTGTCTATTTTCTTATGAAGTCTCTCTCTTTATTCTTTTTGTTTGTTTGTTTGTTTTTTGTTTTTTGAGACAGGGTTTCTCTGTGTAGTTTTGGTGCCTGTCCTGGATCTCACTCTGTAGACCAGGTTGGCCTTGAACTCACAGAGATCTGCCTGGCTCTGCCTCCCGAGTGCTGGGATTAAAGGCATGCACCACCACCACCCACTCTCTCTCTTTATTTTTACAGCTATATATATTTAAGAGAAACTTTTATGTTGAATATAGGAGTTACATTTTAAGGTCACAGTTCAGTAAATGATAAGAAACAGAGTCATCCCTATACTTACAAGTCGTAAATCTCAACTTCTTAATTGACTGTAAAGTACAACTGCAGCAGCAAATATATCAGTCATTACATTATCTAACATTTTGTGATTAGCAGAAATGCCGGGCTTTCTAGAAGTGTTTACAGAAAGAGAGCTGTGTCATAAATGCTTTGGTAGGAACTCAGGTTTGCCTTAATATGAGCTCACTAGGACATTCTGCAATAGCACAGTGATAATAAAAGCATTTTTAAATCTTGAAATATATTTTCCTATCTTGTATGTAACTTCTGATTATATAAGAACACCTGTAGCCCTCATTAGGGGCTAGAGTTAAGTTATTTTTTGTAACCTTGACTAGTCAGAATATATTTTTACAAATTGAGGTCAGGAATGGGTGAAAGGACTAAATCATTTGCTAGCTAGTAATAATAGGGCTGTGTTTGTATTTACAACCTAGCTAGGCAGTTCAGCTGTGTGACCTTGTGATAGCAAGGCACCTGGTCTAATCTAAAGCTCTTTTGAAGCTTTGTATAACCTAATGATGTACAGGAAACCTGTAACTGTAATTCTCAGCATAAAGATTAAAGGAATTTAGCTAGTCTAGACTCAACTTTTCTTTTTGGTTTGGTTTTTTGAGACAGGGTTTCTCTGTGTAACAGATGTGGCTGTCCTGAAACTCACTCTGTAGACCAAGTTGGCCTTAAACTCACAGATTCACCTCCTGAGTGTTGGGATTAAGGCATGTGCCATTACTGGCCAGTTTACATAATTTTCTAAAGCAGTGGAAATAGTGCTAACAATGATCAAAATAGTTTTATATTTTTCTCTATTTTATTCAACAAATATTTGCTCCTTACTAAATGTCACATAGTGTTGTAGATGTTACATATGTACTACTTTTGTTTTCTGACAGGGTTTTGCTCATAGGAGAAGCTGGCCTAGAAGTTCCTATGTATTCCAGGCTGTCCCTGAACTCAAAATTCACCTAACTCAGCCCCCCTTTACTGAGATTGGAGGCATATGTCACCTACATGGCTAATTTTAAGGTGCTTTTGATTCATTCATGATGAGATGTTAGGAGAGAAACATAGCCTATAGACATAAATTTGTAGGTTTAAAAAATTACAGAGGTTGGGAGAGTATTCAGTTGGTAGATGTTTTCCTAGCATGCACAAAACAATGGGCCTGATCCCCAGTACTGCACAAACTGGGCATAAATTGACACACACTTGTATTCCAGTATTCAGAAGGTATAGGCAGGAGGACCAGAAGTCAACAACCATATTCAGCTACATAAGTAGTTCAAGGCCAGCTTGGGACACCTTAAACCCTGCCTCAAATAAAATTGGCCATCTAAATGTAGGTGGCAACTGGACAGGTAAAAATGGGCAAGATCCTTGAGGGGAAGCAAAATCCCAGATTGGGACTGAGTATTATAGAAAGAATCTAGTGTCCTGGCTTTTCTGTTTATCCAAAAGGCAAGTTTCTTAGAAAGCTCAATTTAATAAAAGCTAAGTGGAACTCAGCTTAATCACTTTTATTGGGTTATAGTTTCTAGAGGTTATAGAGGTACCTATATTAAGAGAGTATAGGGAATATCTCTAAGTTCATAGGCATTTTATTTCACTTTTAGTTTCAAACTTAATACTTGGTAGGGGAAGATCTCACCTGGTTTCCTCTTTGATCTATAGATTCTTTGTAGCAGATGAGAAGAGGGCCAATGAGTCCTGAAGCTAGATCTCTCTCAGGGTTGATGAAACTTGAATAATAGCGGGTCAGGCATCGTGGATCCGATTTAGTTGGTCCATCTTCTACAGTAACTGTCCATTTATACTTGAATATCTCTCCTGGATGAATTGGCAAATCCTTCACATGCTTTATACCTACCCACATCCAAAATAGAAATAGATCAATTAGAGTATAGCAAGCTATATATATTTAGTAATGTTGAATTAAGTTTGGCCTAAACCTGCCTCTATACGTGTTTCAACTTTGTGTTAAAGGTTCCTGTGCATAGAAACTGCAACCTAACTTGTTATATAAACAATTTTAACTTGGAAGTATACTCTTGTAACAAGTAGCCGAGTCTTAGCAAATCATAACAGCTAAACCTCCAGCCCATTTAAGGCTGAAGCTGTGAAAACACCATATAAGACAACTGCTAGCAGCATTTAATCACGTTATTTCTATGTCATTTTCTGTTCTCTGTCTGTAAATACAGTCTGTGGGTATGTGTGGTGAGGTGGAGCATTCTGAATCATTTGTAGTCCAAAATAAATTAATGAATTATTACTTTTCTCAAGTAAATTCTGTCAAGTTAAATGTATCTAAAGTTCCCCTTTTAACAATAATTATGTTTTTATTTCAAGGGAACTACTAACCCATATGTGAAAATTTTCAGTAAACAGAAAGTAAAATGACACCTACTATAAACTAAAGATTCAAAAAATTATTTTATACAATAAAAATGGGTCCAGGAAATGTTTTTTAAAAAACTTTTTATTGATTCTTTGTGGTTTTTACATCATGCATCTTGATCCCATTCATCTCCTCATCTCTTTGTATCTGCCCTCTGCCCTTGCAAACCCGCCACCCCAAAAAATATAAAATAAAATTTAAGAGAAAAGAAATAAAAGAAAAACTTCATCGTGGAAGCTGTACTGTGACACAGTAAGCCACACAGTATACCCTTTAGTTCATATATCTTTGCTTGCAAGTGTTCATTTCAATGAGTCATTGGTCTGGTTTGAGACCTCTGGTCTCTGCTACACTATCTATACTGGGCCCTCACTGGGACTCCTCTGGGATATCCTGTTGTTGCCTGTGTCATGGAGATCCTGCAGCTTTGGGTCTGCAGGACTGGCCCCTTCACATACTCCAGCAGATCATAAATGGGGTGGATGTTGGGTTGGGTCCTGGTTCTGGGCCTGGGTGGTTGCAGGGTTGGTCAGCTCACCAGCTCTCCCTCATTCTCACCACTGGGGTGGGCTCTCCAGCACTGTCCTGGCTAGTTCACCATATGCAACAAGCAACAAGGGGCAGGACAGGTTCACCTTCAGGCCTGGCTCACACACACCTATACCACCAAGGCCAGCTCTACTGTGTTGCCCAGTTGAGGTGCAGGGCATGCTATCCCAAGTGCTGCAGCTGGTGAGGGACAGGGCCAGCTCTCCTGCTCTCATGATCTCAGGACCTGCTTTCCCACCTGCCACAGGCAACAAAGGGTAGGGAGGGTGAGGGTGAGGATGGGAGGGTTTGGGGAGGCAGGCATTTCTCCCTCACCCATGCCATGTTTTCTTAACATGTTAGTTTGAACAAATTTACCTCTTACTACAAATAACAGAAAAATAAGAATATTTGAATATTCTTGCATATAGAAGAATCTATTTTATTTTAATAACAAAATGATTAGGATTGTGGGCAAGAAAATAACCACAGCATATTACCTAGTTCTATGGTAAATAAATTGATAAAATGACCTTGACCTTGCATTACTAAAATGATACAAATACTATTTTTAGGTTTATTATCTTTAGAATCAATGTTTAGAAAAAGCAAAGAAGAATTATGTAAAATTATTGTAAAAATTGTGTGTCAGGTGGGTGGTGGTGGTGATGGTGGTGGTGCACACCTTTAATCTCAGCACTCGGGAGGCAGAGGCAGGCAGATCTCTGAGAGTTCAAGGCCAGCCTGGTCTACAGAGCAAGTTCCAGGACAGGCTTCAAGGCTACACAGAGAAACCCTGTCTCAAACAACAACAACAAAAAAAATTGTGTGTCAATAGCTGGAGTTGTACATCAAGTGTATCTACATCAAGAAAGACCTATAAACTGAGATACTACTTACCTCTTGGCAATCTCCTTGAGTGTAGAGGGCTGACGTCAGTGATTCCATGAGGGTAAATGTTATATGGTCGGCTTGCTTGATTCTTAAATATAATCTGAAAATATAGGTGAGATATGAGATCAACTTCTAAGATGACTAGGATCAACAAGCAAACTGTAGCCTAGCTCCAGAAAATCAAAAGCTTCCTATATCCACATTACAGGAGTCTGAGCCCTTAATAAAACTCAATATATTCATTCTTTTCATGAAAAGGAAGATTAGGTAGCTGCTTAGTTTTGTTATGATCCTTTCAATTTGAATTACTTCAGTAAGTCTTGCCCACATCTCCTACATGAAGTGAAATTTGGGTGTCTGCTAAGGACATTACTTTTCTTCAGTCTTTCTGTCTTCTTGGCACTTAATTCCTCAACACTGGAGGAAGAGACAGTTGTTCAGGTTATAAGATTTATCACTTAATAAGTAGGTATAACAAGGAAGGCAATAAATAGCCTCAAGCAAGGGTGGCAGGTTATGGTGGTATTTTATTTGTACTGAAATGTGATTTTAATTGTATGTTAATAAATAAAGTTGCCCAGGGGTCAGAGCTATTAGAGCCATAGCAAGAGTGTGGCAGTGGTGGTGCATGCCTTTAATCCCAACACGTGGTAGAAGAGCTAGGTAGATCTCTGTGTGTTCAGGGATATAGCCAGCATTGGAGACATATGCCTTTAAGACCTGGAGGGCTGTACTTACAGGCAGTGACGAGG